TTTATTAAAAAAAATGTTTTTTTGTAGTTCACATATAACATTATAAAACCTACTTTAAAATTTTTCAATTTGCTTTTTTCATTTGGCCAAAAAAAATTCTTGAAAATCGGCTTTTTTTGGCCAGTTACTCAGATGTCCCCCTTTAAAATTAGTGCGGATAAAATCTGACGCAATCTGTGGTTTTGCTGTTGTTAAAGAGCCGAAATAGTTGATAAACTATTCATTTCACTCCCAAATCGACCGCTTCAGCCATCTTTGTTTACGTTTTCATGAGCCACAGCTGATCGATCAGCTGATATTGCACTTTAACACAGCTCTGTGGGAACACGAATTTCACTTTTCTTTTTAAATCCCAACCGTTCCACACAAATGCGCTGAGTGGGAAGACTGTATAAACCGTTCGCCGCGAAAGCGACTTCTGTATTTGTCACGTGCGAGTTCCTTTATTTTTTTTAGATTATTGAATTTGAAACATGTTTCAAAATCAACAGTTGCACCAGTTATAGACCTAGCTGTTGCCTAGGTTAACATTTATAAAAAAAAAGTTTAATGTAAGTTTTTTTACTTTGAATATATGTACACAAATGTCGAGTTCGAAAGAAAGAAATGCCCAATATTAAAGCATGGCCATGTATCGAAGTAGATAAAAATATGTTCCAAAACGGCAAAACTCAGGCCTGCTCCGGTAGTCGTAAAATTTTGTCGATTTTGTTTTGGGCGAGATCGTACGATTTTATCCTTAGCTGCTCCGGTTTTCGAAAAATGTTTATTATCGGAATGTTTCGTTTTCTCATCGTTTCTTACTGCTCAAGCGGCTGAATTTATTTTTTTGGTAACAATTGCGTATTTCGTAGTCAAGAGAAGGCAAACAATGCTGGAGTTAAGCAAATCTAGGCATCTAAGTGCTGCTACATTTTTCACAGTTTTAATTCCGGTGGTCTCAATCAATTATTTTGTCAATTTCGACCATTTAAGTAATCAAATTATATAGCATTATTTATAAACAACAATTTGGCGCACCTTTAAAGTTATTAATGTATTCATTTATATTTTATAAGTATTTTTAACTGGCTGTTTCGTTCCACCAACAATATGGCAACCTTGGCGATAACTTTTTGCGATGGACTTATCAACCTATCGCCACAACGAAAAATCTTGTTGAGCACAGCAAAAATTTGTTGGTCAAATCTGAGGTGGGGTCAGAAATAAATTTTTTATAAAATAACTACGTGCCACACTGGTCTTGTGGTGGTGTGGAATAAATATTAATAGACCACAGAGTATACTATTTTGTTTTCTTTAGTAAATAAGATCTGATTTCATATAAAAAAAAGCCATTTACTTTTCATTCCCGCCAGACAAAGGTGCCCGTTTTTCAAATCGAAAAATCCTTCGATTTCGACCTTCGTTCAACTCTGCATAACTTCGTCAATTCGTCATGATCGATGTAAAACTTGGACACAATATTCTTAAGATATTAGGCCTTAAAAATAAAAAAAAAAAAAAATTAAATACCTTACCCCCCCCTTAAATATTTAATTAAGAAAAAAGTTATTGTAAAGAACAATGTTTATTTTTGCTCTTAGGTCATTAGCTTGTATAGTTTGTAAGTTAAAGAAAACCAACTTGCGGCATGTGTGTCGATTGTATTAGCTTCATATGTTTATAATTTCCTTAATTGCCAAAAAATAAAAACAACAGCAATAAAATGAGGCAAATATGTATGCGTGGAAGCGAGATGCCAGACATTTTTGGTGTCAACAACGACAGGTGAAAGAGTCTCAAATATTGTGCAGCACCGCTCTCTTTATCACTCTCTCTCACTCAGTCTGGCAAAATGGGAGCGGTAAGCAGTTAGAAGCGATCTGTGCAGGCAAACATATACATACATATGTAAATATTTAAGTGTGTTAACCCTGCGGTTCCCCATGTCATCAACGTTTCATTAACTTCATTTTCTGCCGAGCCGACGTTCTCATTCGATAATCTTGTCAAAACGTACTATTTCTCTCTCTCTAATTTATACTCTATTCAAAAATAAAGTTCATGGCAGTTCTATGAATAGTTTATTACAAATTGATGAATATTTTAATATGCCCAAAACGTTGATGGCAAAATCCAGCTTTGATACTGAAACGTTGGTTAATTTATATTTGATGACAGCCTAGGACATGTACATAAATTTCATCAATAATTTGTATGAACTTTATGACACATCAACACACCAAGCCTTCTTTGCGAACTTTTAATAAATTACTGATGAATGGTACTGCATGGAACTACCCAGCAGACAAAGAGCGGTCTCAGTGCGGATGGATCCGAGAAATGTCCGCTAAAAATATTAAATGCGAACAAAGAATCGGAGTTTCCGCATTAGGTTCGGGGAATGCTCAAAAACGGACGCGCAAACGGACGAAAAGAAAAACTGTGGCGTTCCCCGTGAATGTACCGAAAACGTATTGCTAACGGACACTGAAACGTACATTGGGCGGCCGAATAGCGGACTTACCGCAATAGGTTTGCCTAATTGTCAAAACTGGCCCGAAAACGGATACTGAAACGGGCGAACACTGGGACCCGTGCAAATGCCGCAAATGTCCCGCTAACGGACACTAAAACGCACTGCACGAGTTAAAAATCTTGTCGTCAACGAAACTTCTAGAACTCGATGAACGGTTCTTCTCCTTTCTTCTTTTTTGGCTTGCCTGTTTTTTGTTATTTCGCTGCAAATGAGCGAGAGGCAAATATTATTGCATCATCTTTCAACTCTTTTGGTTTGAGGAATTTATACCGTCGCGACTCTTTTCCTTTTGACCGGCGAGTTGTGCGGACGTGAGTGAACAGTTTTTTACAAGACGCACGTGTTTTCAACGGTAAGTGTTAAATTTAAATTGATTAATGATGTACAATCTCTTACTAATCAACTTATATTGACTAGATTTATATTTATTCATGCTGGCGAGACCTAATTTCCGACGAAGTGGCGCGCCAATGGTCCTGGTTTGGGACAGAGTCCAAAATGTGCATTCGAGAGATGCTTATTACGTCACCCGTCAAAGGTATGTATATGTATTTTTCGCATATATTTTAATACTCATATACTTATAATAATTTATATTTTTGCAACCGCTTCTTTTATAAACAAATTTGCGTTGGAGGACGCAGATTTTGATAGAGCGACACAAAAGCAGAATGCACAGGACGGTTTGTATTAGTATTAAGTATAAGTATAAGTAAAATGTTTATTTTTTAAGTTAAATAATGATAAATAATAAATAATGATAAACATAAATAAATGTATGTTTTATTTACATTTAAAAAACCCGAAATTCTAAAAATTTAGTTGGAAATAGATATTAAAAATGTATCTGAAACGCATCGTCAAAAGACCGCAAACGGTACTTTTTCGGGTATCGTCAAAGGTCCGCAAACAGTACTTTTTTGATTATCGCCACAGGTCCACTAACGGTACTCTTTCGGGTATCGTAAAGGGGGTGCTATCGGTTCTTTTTCTGGTCTCGCCACAGCGTCCGCAAGCGCTATTAGTTCGTGCTCCGAAAATGAGAGGTTTTGCTGCCACAAAACCCAGGACATGTAATTTACTTTGTTATCGTTCTTGAGCCTAAAATCGGACGTTTTGTCCGCCTGCGGTCCGCAAAACTTCAGTTTTTAATATTTTTTACGAAGTTTTTGTCTGCTGGGTATAAGTTCATTAACATGAATATGTATGTACATATGTATATACTATATAGCCTTTTTAAATAGAAGTCCAACATTTGAACAAAAAAATGTTTTTTTTCTAATTATAAAAACCAAACAGTTACAGTTATTATATATGTATATATTAAAATTATGTTTTTTTTTACATTGATATTACTAGCCTTTGTATATTTTATTAATCCCCTTAATGGTTTGTCCATGGAGATCGTCCTTAAGAAATGGGGTAAATGCACCGAAACTTTAATCCGAAAAAATAACATTTCTAGTACGTATTCAAAGTAATAAAAAAAAACATTTTTGTATTTTTTTTTTATAAATGTTAACTAATAGCTCTTGCCCAGGTCTATAATTGGTGCAAGTGTTGATTTTGAAACTTTTCTGGAATTCAAGAAACTAAAAAACAATTAAGGAATTCGCATTTGACGAATACAGAAGTCACTTTCGCGGCGAGCTGTTTAAAAACTGATTATTTTCGTTAAAAAATTTTAAATTGTCATGGCCGATTCTTGTTCTTTTAATTTCAAACATAAATATATAGTAGTTTATTCGATATTTAATTTTAGTCCATGTCGCACGTGACATTTTTTTCCGCGATACTTTACATGTTTTTTTTACTGATTAATTAAACTTAAAGAGCATATTTGCGTTTTCGTTCGATCGTTTTCTTTCTTCTAGTGATGTTTGAAACAAAAGTCAAAGCATAATGCCTCTCTGGCTTAAAAGTTGTTATCAAAACAAAACAGGCCCATTTTTATGTTTTTTACCAAAATAATCAAAAATCGCGATTGCTCAAATTCTCATTCGGATATTTCAAAATATGTTTTAGAGTATGCTAGATTCGGTCAATGTTGGAACACCTTTTAATGTGACTATATGGAAAACAAAGATTTTAAAGAAGTTTTACTGTTTTGGCCATGGTTTGCTTTAATTGTGGTTTTTTTTTTTGTATTTATTTAACACATTTATATATTTAATATAAGATAATTATAATATTATATTTATAATACATATATTATAAATAATAAATAATGATAATAAGCCACAGGAAGCCTTTCAATTTTTATTTTAACACTGTCCCAAAAAAAACTGCGTGCCACTGTATGAGCATACATATGTACATATGTACATACATATGTATCCCAATACCCGATAGATTGATTATAACGTGTTTTTGAGAAATGTTGCAACTGAATGATATAGCGAGATCAGCTAATAGAAATAAAGCAAAGAAGAAATGTATGGGGAAAGCAAGAAGTCATAATAACTTAAAACTAATTTACCTTTCTTTTTTACCTTTTTCCTTTCTCGTATGCAATTTCTGCTTGTTTAAATGGGTCGTTATTTACAACATAAAGAAGCAACGAAAACAAAGTAATACACTGTCAAAGAGAGCAACGAGGGAGTAAACGGAAGAGACCCTCGAGCTTAGAACAATTTCCAACGAATATTGAACTGATCTGTTACTGACCGATCTTTAATTGACACATATTTACAAACTCTGGCTGGTTTAATTCATTTTACTATAGATTTTTGCAGAGTGAATCACTTGCATCGCACACACATACACTAAGAGGCCCGCGTACGCATTGTTTTTATTTGTCTTTCTTTTGTAAGATCGTCGCTTTTGTTGAATGGGGGCGAGGAAGGGGCGTAGCCGAAGATAGGATATTGGGGGATCACAACACGTACCGAGAAGAGAAATAGTTTAGCAAAACCCGTCGAAAAAAAAAACAAAAAAATAGACCAGAGCGCCAGTCGCTCGATCTGCGGCCTTTGTCTTCAGTTTCAATTAAAAAAAAAATCTGCTGGAGCTATAGGTATGACCGTGGCCTGACCGTAATAATATACCACTGAGCTAAGGCTACAAAAATATACTTAAATAGTGTTATCTCATGGAAGTTAAAATAGTATATACCAATACAAATTAAATATATCCTTGAGATCGACTTGAGAATTTTCTAAAAAAAAAGTAGTTACAGAGCATTACAGCCAATTAGGAAATCAGAAAATGTTTCACCAATGCTCTGAACTCAGGTCGAAGAAAACTGTTTTGCACATTTCGTTAGAGCTCTTTTGTAATGTTTTTTAACAGAGGCACAACTCCAAGAACTACCGCTTCAAATAATATTTTTGTGTTATGGTCTTATGATACTCTAATGCAGTTTTCATTAATCAGCTCCTTCATTAGGACCTTGAAAGAGACAACTATATATTTTTTAAAATTATTATTTTGGTAACACGACTACGGTCACACCGATCAAAAAAGGTAAAGCCTAGTACTCTGACGAGAAAAAACCGCTGTATAAATTTAGACAGCGGCCAAACTCCATATAAAAAAACGGTGTCGAAAAAAAAGAAGAAGAACTTTTAGACACGTCGTTTTTTTCGGTACTCTGACGACGAAAATGAAACCTGCGAAAATTGAATGGCGTTGCCAGATCAAGATAGTAAACAGCTGATATCGCGCTGTCTAAATAATTCATTTGATTTATTTAGACACCCCTAATGGAGGGAAAGTTGAAGGAAAAAGGTTGCATTGATAGGGGCTGTCAAGGGGAAGCCCATAATATGGAATTTAATCCACAAAGGACATTTTAATGCCATATTTATTAATATTTTAAATATTTTTTTTTGAATATTTGTCTACAAACAGCTGTCCTGTGTGACCAAAGAAAATCCTTAAACGCCATAAAAAGTACATTTTCATGGCATTTCAGGACTTTCCTTAATTTTTTTTGGTCACACTAGCTCGGTAGCGAAATAAACAGCGATTCCGCTGTCTAATTTATACAGCGGGTTTTTCTCGTCAGAGTACTAGGCTTAAACAATAAAAACGGACGCCATTCGTGACGTATTACTATGAATTTCTAAATTCCTCGTCGAAGTATTCACACATAAATAAATGCGGAAACCTTTAAATTTATGTTTTTAACCTATAATGCCTATAATTTAAAAAAATTATTACCATAAAATATATATTTAAATTAATTTTACAGCACAAACACATCGACGCATTTTCGCGAAAGTATCGTATGTCGATAAATCCAATTTTACGGGAGAAGCTTTTTTGTGCTTTAATCCCTTATACTGTCTTCCCACACAGCGCATTTGTGAGGAACGTTTGGGATTTTTCACAAATGTGAAACTCGTGTTCCCACACAACATTAAAGCGCATTTAGCATCCGAGCAGCTGATCGATCAGCTGTGGCTCATGAAAACGTAAACAAAGGCTGTCGAATTGGCAGTTGCAAATTTGAAATGGAGCATTTACCAACTATTTTGGCTGTTGTAGAACAGCAAAAGGCACAGATTGCGTCAGAATTTATCCGCAATAAATTTAAATGAATTAAATGACAAGGAATTTTAGTTTTTCTAATGATTTTTCTCTAACAAAGAGCAAATTCCCCGAAGAGTGTCTATAGGTGGTATAGGCATCCAAAATCTTTAAAATAAGGTAGAGGTAGGCGGTTTATATTAAATAGTAACAATTGGGGACATATTGGGGCAAGAATTTACAGAAAAAACGCCGATAGTTAGGCGATAGTTAGGCGATAGTTTTTCGGTGCAACTCTGATTCTTCTTCTTAATTTGATCATTCACCACGAAAATGTAAACAATTTGGCGAGGAACAAATGAGATACGTAATTTAAAATGTGGCGCCAAAGCTACAAGCATGCCCAAAATAGTTGTTGGCGTTTTTTCTGTATATTCTTGCCCCAATATGTCCCCAATTGTTACTATTTAATATAAACCGCCTACCTCTACCTAATTTTAAAGATTTTGGATGCCTATATAGAGGTGGAGAAACATCGATGCGAACATCGATGACATCGATGTTTTCGAAACATCGGAAACATCGATGCTTAGCGGGGCAACATCGATGTTTTTTCATTTATTTATTGTATTAATTATATTTTAGATTACTACAGATGGCGACTCCTTTAAAACGTTTGCTAAAAAATACTTCTGCGTTCTCGCATCTTCGCACGAATCTGAAAGAGTTTTCAGTAAAGCTTCACAACTTATAAGTGAGCTTCGCACGCGGCTCCTCTTCCTTAAACAAAAACAAACATGGAAAAATATGTAAATATATATACTAGAGTTCGGGATAGCAATATCCTAAAAAACTATTATTTTCTTTGGACCATGTATATATTGAAACATTGATATTAAATTTGTTTTTGTTTTTAGTTTTTATTTACAAACTAAGAAAAAGAAACTATATACCAAAGAAGTGGAACATGAATATCATGAAGTTTTATTTTAATTAGTTTTTTTTTTTTTTTTTATTTAACAAGTGATTAAAAAAATTGAATTTTTGTTGAAAATTTGACTTTTATTTTTTTAATATTACAAATTAAAATAAAGTTCATATACACTAATATAACTGTTAATTTTTTTTTATTTAAAACATCGATGTTTCATCGATGTTTTTCGCCAAAAACATCGAAAACATCGATGTCCCCGAACATCGATGTTTCTCCACCTCTGTATAGGCAGCCTATACCACCTATAGACACTCTTCGGGGAATTTGCTCTTTGTTAGAGAAAAATCATTAGAAAAACTAAAATTCCTTGTCATTTAATTCATTTAAATTTATTGCGGATAAATTCTGACGCAATCTGTGCCTTTTGCTGTTCTACAACAGCCAAAATAGTTGGTAAATGCTCCATTTCAAATTTGCAACTGCCAATTCGACAGCCTTTGTTTACGTTTTCATGAGCCACAGCTGATCGATCAGCTGTTCGGATGTTGAATGCGCTTTAATGTTGTGTGGGAACACGAGTTTCACATTTGTGAAAAATCCCAAACGTTTCCTCAAATGCGCTGTGTGGGAAGACAGTATAATACACTTTTCAATTACAAATTTCTTCTTTAAAACAGTATTTTGTTATCGGTCCAAATCTAGTATCTTGTATATTTTGTGTAGATCTATCGATTATCGCGGCAATGAAGTAGCTACCTAATGCATTAGAATGTAATGTATTAGAGCGCCATATAGTCCTCTTGCTCGCACTTGTGTAAAACGCTATAGCGCTGTCAAATCTTTAATGAAGTCTCTAATTAATGCGCCAGTGTCATACGGCTATAAGCAAAAAAATCTGAAAAAAATCGCTTAAAGGAAATAAAAAGCCAGAATTCCCGCTGCCCGCTATTAGTAAATTCTTCTAGCAATGGCCTTTGAAAAAAGCCAGATTTAGCGGTAAAAAATCGAATCCGGCAACAGTGATGCGGATACACAAAGTATAGAAAAAACCAAATAAATAGCGAAAAATTCAATGCAAAGTTCTTTTTCCGGAATAAGCATTTGCAATTTATTTCGCACGAGCGTAATTTTGAATGCCGGTTGCATCACGTGGGACTTTGGTGTTAGGACAGTGAGAAAGTTCTAGATAGACACAAGCCGACCCCTTCCCAAGGGGAAAAGGAAAAAAAATCAGCATCCCACACACAGCGCAATTTGAAAGTGAAGAAAATGGCCACCAGCGAGATCACGAGCTCCAACGAGCGCCACTACTACGCCAAACTAGAAGCTATCAAGGACATACGCGATAAGACGTTGGCCCTGGAGAAGCTGAAAGTGCGGATTATCAAAGAGGTGAAGCTCAGCGACGACGAGGAGAAATGTTTGGAGGAGTACCGCAAGGAGATGGAGCACCTGCTGGAGGAGAAGATGTCGCACGTGGAGGAACTGCGCCAGATTCACGCGGACATCAATGATATGGAGAACATAATCAAGCAGACGAAGGAGAACCAGACGCGTTCCTTCGACATGGCCAACAGGGTCTACGAGGAGTACCTGGCTTTGAAGTACCAGATTGACCACATGCGTAGGGACTACCTGGGGCTGAGCCCCCTGCGCGACTTGCACGAGGAGGAGGGCAGCCCCATATCGAAGGATCGCTTTCAGACCAACTTTCTCAAAGTGGCCGCCCAATCCGCAGCGGCTGCAGCAGCGGCTGCGGCGGCGGCAGCGTCCGTGAACCAACCCACATCGCTGGCCAGGCCCCATGCCAGGCACCCCTTGATGCCAGAGGCCACGGTCACGGCCTTGCCATCCTCCGTTGGTTCGGGAGGAGCGGGTGGCGGTAGCGCTGGCAGCGGAGCTGGCTCAGTTGGCGGCGGCGGTGGAGGAGGAGCTGGTCAGCCGGGGCATGCTTTTATGCCACCAGCGCCGCCGGGAGCGGGCAGTACTGGTGCTTCCGCAGTGCGCTTGGGAAAGGGTGACTTTTCAGCTCCACCACCCCCGCCGCCGCCGACTAACAGACTCCAACAATCGCCGTCGATCGGCATCGGCCACCATCCGTCGTTCCGCTCTGACTTCAACGTGAATCTCCGCCAGCAGCCACCACCTATGAAGTCCTGTCTGTCTTGTCATCAGCAGATCCACCGCAACGCGCCCATCTGTCCGCTCTGCAAGGCCAAGTCACGCTCCCGCAACCCGAAGAAGCCCAAGAAAAAGAACAACTAAGCGGCTCAGCAGCAAAACCAGAAAGTACACTCATCGTTGGTCCAGAGCCTGTCCCGGAACTACATATAACTCTTTAAAAGTATAGCTTTTTTTTGTTTGCCTCGTCTATATATCAATCCAAAAGTACTAACACAAAACTAGGCGGTGTGATTATGGGAATCTCTAGATATATAATTTATGTTAAGGTGTCCAAGTCTTAAGTCTGGAATATTTACCAAAATTGCATTGAATCCAGTATTACAAATTAATATTTAACGTATTTTTGTACATTTGTACATACGGTTCAGGGGTGTTGTAACCAAGAATGTATATGTATTCTTCCTAAACATCATTAGATTTAGACTATGCAAGCTAGAAACACTCTTCGAGACCCATTCTCGTGGCTGGAGCTCCTAGCAAGTCTCCTTTTTACCATACATACATACTCTTAAGCCGCTCCATTGAATTTCGAACGACTTACATGCATATGTTCATATTCATTTGTATGTATGCAGGTCTAACGAAAAGGCTTGTGAAATTTATTGCAGCATTGCGGACTTTAGTTTACCAATATCTTCACTGGGAAATTAATAAAAAACAATTCATTTACTTACTTCATCTTAAATATTTTAGGGCTTACCTTAAATGCTAATTTAAAACATCAGTTAACATATTTCATAGACAGACGCCTTAATGTAGGTTTCCTAACCCCCAGAGTAAATAAAAACCTTTTAATGACACTTTATTTACAATTAGGTTTTAGGTTATCTACGATTTGTATTTTAATTTACTTTTAGTTTTTTTTTTTACTGTAAATGTTCAACAAACAAAAGATAAACAAACACACTCAAAATAAGAACGATTTGTACATGATTAAGCCGTTCGCAGTGTGCAAGTTGCCATATTAAGCCAACAACAAAAACTATGAATAATAAAAGAAAAGTATTTCATTTTTTATTAAGGCCTTCGGTGTTTATTGTTTGGTTTTTAGGTATGTACATTTGTACATAATAACAAATAACCAAAACGAGGTAGGTTGCAAAATGAAATGTAAAATAATTTACACACGTTTGTACATTCATGTTTTGTTATCATTTTATTTGTATACCCTCGCAGGATATTCTAATTTTAGTCAGAAGTTTGCAACGCAGTGAAGGAGACCTTTCCGACCCTATAAAGTATATATATTCTTGATCAGCATCAACAGCCGAGTCGATCTAGCCATGTCCGTCCGTCCGTCTGTCCGTTTCTACGCAAACTAGTCCCTCAGTCTTAAAGCTATCTGAATGAAACTATGCATATAGTCTTCTATATACTCTTATTGCTATATATGTCGGAACGGGATCGGACGACTATATCATATAGCTGCCATACAAATGTTCGATAAATTTTTAGAAAAAAAAAATTATAACTTGGCTGTTTTTCAATATTTTTGCATGATTTTTAAGATATGGCTAAATAATATTATTTCAGATTTTCGGTTTTAATTTTATGAAAATCGGACGACTATATCTTATAGCTGCCATAGGAACGATAGGGAAATTAATAGAAAAAATTATAACTTTGTGTTTTTCGACGTATTTCATCTACTTTGAGATATTAAGCTTTTGGTATTATTTCTGAATTTTGGTATACATTTCATAAAAATCGGACAACTATATAATATAGCTACCATAGAAGAGATCGGTAAATGTAGAGAAACTGTAAAACTGTAACTGTCAAACTGTAAACACAATAAGTATAGGTCAAATGTTATGAAACTTTGTTTTGTGTGTGTTTTCAGCATTTCTTTATGCTATATATAAATATACAACTTTTAAATGTTTTTTTAATTATTTAACCAGAATGGCTCGATTCTTAATGATCCAATTGCAATCTGCAAGGGTTTTCAAGCTTCGGCGTGCCGAAGTTAGCTGCCTTTGTATCCAAGTCAAATCCTTTGTACTTCTTTGGTGAACCTATCGACTAAGGTGGCAATCGGAATCCAATGTCATCTCATATAATCCACAAAACGGGGTGTTGGGCAGGCGAAAGTTATCCTTGATCGCCTATAGCTCCCTTATTTAAACTATAACTATGTCCTTCTCTCTTTTCCATACAAATGGTTATAATTAATCAAAATATTCCACTTGCCTCTGGCAAATGAAGTAGCAGAACTGGGTTTGCTCTTCTAAGCTCCTCGATTTGTATTTTCTGCACATTATTGTGTATGACGAGATTCATAATTTGAGAAAGACTCCTCTCCACTGTTTGCCTCTCACTCTCTTTTATAAATTTTAAATTATGGATATGATTGAACCCAGGATTCCGGTGGATCAGAATCAGTTCTCCCTATTTTGGTATTTGTGACTTTTATAAGCATTTGCAAATATTTTTTTTAGGTTATTCATATAATTTTTTTTTATATTTATTTTATAGATGTATATTTCAAATTGTTTTTAATTTATTTTAATTTTTATATGATGCATACTTTTAGACGCTCAGGGAATTTGGTTAAATGACTGAAAGGCCAGTGTGGGTACAGAGTTCGTATACATCAACGTTTTGGTAATCTAAATGAGAGGCCCAATAGTTTAAACAAATTAATGGCACAATGGTCTTGCGACTGGGATGTGGGTGACTTTTTTGGGTCGTTCCCCTTCAGTTCCAGAATTCCTCGCCCGTCCAATTCCTCGCGGTATGTTCGAAAAACAAAAACAAATTACATGGGCCTCGTTCAGTGAAGTTCGAAACAAAATAGCCGAAACAAATTCTACCTACGTTCGGCTACTGCCGAGGGCTTCACGAAGTTCGTACTTTATATTTGTTATTGTTTTCGATCTACGTTCGGAGTAGCGGTTGCGAGAATTCGTAAATTAGAGAGAGATGGAGATGGAAGGAAGGGAGGAAAGAAAATTGGTGTCAAAAACAAAGAGTATTGCACCGACGTGAGAATGACCTTTTTAAAATAAGTAGAGTTATTTAAAAATATTTAAGATTATATTTAATTAATTTTTACGAATAAAATCGTGTGGGATATAAGCACGTAAGAAAATGTGCTTTAGACATGGCCGAAATGTTCATGTTTGATTATTGGCCCTTTGTGAATCTAATTGCAAGGCATTGCCTTGTCGGCTATACCCTGACACGCGCGAGAATTTTCGGTGTTCGGTTTTGTCTTCTAATTCTCTTTGCATTTTGAGTTGACTGCTGTTGCATTCAGAAGTGTTTTGCGTATTAGTTGCGTAAAAATGAAATATTATAAGGTAAGTGGATCTTATTTGCATTCAATTATTAATTTTAATTGCGGAATTGACGATTAAAATGGATGCGACTTCAACCTAGACGGTGTGAATGGGATTCAGTACGGAATTACAAAGTTTTTTTTATCCAGTTTAAGTTGGTATGTACTGCAATTTACAATTTGATTCAAAAATATGTATGTACTTATGTATTTAATTTACAGATAAAACAAGTTTCTTAAAGGACACAGCAGCCGACAAAGGAGGCCCGTGACACGCACATATGTATATATATGTACATGTTTAATTTTGCAGAAAAATGTAATGCTACCAAAAAAGTGAAGATAAATAAAAATATGCAATCCATAAATAAATAAGAATTAAATTACATCGGATTTTTATAGGAAGGGGGGATTTTTCAGGAATTTTCTATAGGTTTTCATCTGGGATTCCTCGACGATTCCCCAAGCGATTCCCGCAAGATTCGTCGACGATTCCCCCAGCGATTCCTTGACGAATCGTGCACGATTATCTTTCGAAATTCCCGGTGACTTTCCCTGGCGATTCGTGGCGGATTCTTGGCGAATTTCGAATTCGTGGCTGGGATCACCTTTTGTATGGAAATTCCTCGAAGTTTTGTATGAACGTTCCCTGACGATTCGTCAGGGATCTATTTCGGTTCCGTGAGGAATCGTAGGGGAATCGTTGAGGAATGGAACTGAAGGGTCCCTATACGGATGAATACATGCATACGTATACATATATACATATATTGCTGTTATTTTCAGAAATTCAGTAGAATAGGGAATCCCCTGAATAACTGAGTGGTGTTTTTCACATTTGTATAGCATCGGAAATACATATGACGTTTAAATGAATTAAAATTGATTTTTAAGGGGTTATATACAGTTGTACCGCGAAAAAATATGAAGTTTTGTAGATTTTTTTTTTACACCATAAAGAATATTTATTAAAAATGTTTTACCGGCGTTGTTTAGTACATCTTTCTGGGTACTTATAAAAATTTTTTTATAAAAAAATATTAACTAATAAAAAAGTTATGGCCGAATTCAAATACCCTCTTTTTCCGATAGTGACTTGCGGTGGACATCATATCCCGAGAACGGTTCATCAGAAATAAAAAATTTAAAAAAATGTCGTTAGTATATTGAATTGTCTAGTCCGTGAACGAAGGATTTGTAAAAATTTTGATAAAAAAAAAATGGCGACGATTTTAACAAAAATTGTCCTTTTTAAGGGGTAAAATTTTCGGTTTTTATGCTTTAAAAAAAGGAAGTTTTCAAAAAAATTGAAAATCCTTCGTTCACGGACTAGTTTTTGAGATAATAAATAAGTGGTCAAAATTTGGTGTCGATCGGATTAATAGTTTTTTAGTAATCGTGTTCACGGGAAAGGTAATTTCGAAAAAACAAGATTCTGAGATAATCGCGTTTAAAATTTCACGTTTGTTCCGGACCATGTGCAGGTAGTGCGCTATAAATAGCTACAACTTCGGTTCTAATGCTCCGATCGTTGTGCATTTTTGTGAGAGTATTCTCAACAGTATATACTTTAAGAATATGCAATAAAAAAAATCGATTTCTTCGACTATCACAACTGTACATAACCCCTTAAAGGAGCCATTAGAATCCGGAATCCCAAAGTCCGGAAATTCCGGTTTCCTAAAAGAGCACAAATTATAATTGGGTGAAGTAAATGAAAAGTTTTACCTGTTTCACGAGCTCACAGAAGTCATGCAACTTTTTCGATGAAATAGGTTTTGCAAGTGTATATCGATGTATCGCATACATGAACAAATCGACTAGTCGATTATAGAATCGATTTTAGTGCCAGCTCTAGAGTGTCAGCCACAGCTGTTCATATTTTCATAGAACTTAATATTTTCAACAAAATCAAATTAATAAAGCTAAACTAAAGGTATTTGCTTGACATTTTTAATATGCCAAAGGTGCGTCGCAGTCGCAAGCCCCCGCCAGATGGCTGGGAGCTCATAGAGCCCACTTTGGAGGAACTTGAGCAAAAAATGCGGGAGGGTAAGTGCCGCCTTTTTTTTTTTGCCGTATAGAGAACATTGTTGAAACATTGAATTCTTTATTCATTTAACAGCTGAGACTGAGCCGCACGAGGGCAAGCGTATCACGGAATCATTATGGCCAATTTTCAAGATCCACCACCAGAAGACGCGCTACATATACGATTTGTTCTATCGCCGGAAGGCAATTAGCCGGGAACTGTACGACTATTGCCTAAAGGAAAAGATCGCCGATGGCAACCTTATTGCCAAGTGGAAGAAGTCTGGATACGAGAACCTTTGCTGTCTGCGCTGCATTCAAACGAGGGACACCAATTTCGGCACCAATTGCATCTGTCGCGTGCCGAAATCGAAGCTGGAGGAGGGTCGCATTGTCGAGTGCGTCCACTGTGGGTGCCGCGGATGCTCTGGATAGATGATATCCCGATAAGGTCCATCATCTTCAGTCAACGTAGCTCGGTAGTTTCCATTTACAGTTTGAAATTAGTTTGTAAATACATTTTATACAACAAAACAGAACATAAGGGCTAAGAAAACAAACGAATAAAAAGGTCTCTGTAAAGCCATTGGAATAACAATATTTCTTGATATTGTTAAAGGTTCGTTGTCGATGGTTATTCCTTGTAGTGTCGATGCCAATTAAGCTGTACACTATGTAGTAAAGACTTGAAACTCCATGGATATACCAAGGGATTATTAAAGTTTGATTCTTCTGGTACATTGATTTCGGTAAGTCTGCAATTATACATACATGCTTATAAATTAAAGAATAAGGTAAAAAATGAAAATTCAGAGTTTAAAAGACGAAATGTATTTCTGCAAAGCATCCATATGACTTATACAGACGGGACAATTGAATTCAAAGGCCATCCCGATTCCCACATCGAGTCTTACTTGCAATGATGATCAATAAACCCATTATGACAAACGTTGACTGTTTGTGGCTTACATACGGCTATGGATCCCGCAGACGCAAACCATGAAATGTTGTTTGTATTGGGTGACTACCGACTGGCCAAACGCATTATATCATTCCCTCCATTATACCATGAAAATAATAATTTATTATTTAGGATGAGCTGACTGAACGATACATATATTTTCAATGTATAAGAGCAAGTCCATGCTGTCGTTTCGGACATTCATAGCCATTTCAACTAAAAAACATTTTGAATATTTACTATTTTTATACACTAACAAAGTTTGCGAATTTAACGTTTCTTTAAAACTATAAATTTAACGCTTTGCTTTTTTCCAGGGATCGTAACAGTTATAATTTTTATAATACAAATTATGAAATAAGAGTTATTTTACAATTATATAGAAAAAATAGGAAATTAATTCTTATTATTCAAGTTTTATAAAAAAGTTGTAGAATAATTATTATTTTTCAATTTGTATATAAAAGTTGAGTTATAACAGTTATTTTCAATTTTTAAAATAATAATTGAAAATTAAAATTATTTTCCAATTTTTATTTTAAAAATTGAAAATAATAATTATTCTCCAATTTTTATTTTAAAAATTGAAAATAAAAATTGAATCGCAATAACTTTCCAACGGAGCGGTATATCTTAAAGATTTATATATATAATTAATCTACGCTTTAATACCTTTCGTTTGATGTATATATTGTGGTTATTGCATGTGCATAAAAATATGCGTATACGTAATGTATTTACATTCCACAAACAAACAAGGATACTAAAATACCTTGGAAACAGCTCCGGTCAATTTAACATTTAAAAAAAAAATTTTAGAGAGTGTAGTTATTTTTTCCTCATCCGTAAATGGTAAATGGAACACAATGAACAACCTTAGCCAGAGCCTAAAGGCATGGATAAGTGTATTTTTTACTCTCCCAATACTCCATTATGTTCGCATTTGGGTCTAGCGACTTCGGAGAGTATCAATATATACATACATCAAACGAAAGGTATTGAAGTGTACATTAATTATATATGCCAATCTTTAAGATATACCGCTCCGTTGAAAAGTTATTACGATTCAATTTTTATTTTCAATTTTTAAAATAAAAATTGACACGTAACTATTATTTTCAATTTTTAAAAATAAAAATTGGAGAATAATTTTAATTTTCAATTATTATTTTAAAAATTGCAAATAATTGTTATAACTCAACTTTTATATACAAATTGAAAAATAATAATTATTCTACAACTTTTTTATTAATATTTAAAAATAAGAGTTAAAGCGCAATTAAAAAATAAAAATTGGTTATAAAAGTTTATTTTATTTTTGAGAACTCCTTCAAAAATTATGGTATACCTAAATATTTCATCTTTCCAGCTCAATTTTTTGGTAATAACTTTTATTTTACTCATAACTCTTATTTGCAATCCCTGCTTTTTTCTCAAAAGCTATTATACTTTTCTCTTTGTCCAATAAATAAATGTTTGTACTCCAGAAATAATAATCCTTTGCAACTACTTTGGACTCAGTAATTACAAGTAATGTTTTGATGTCGCTCGGGACATGGCCAAGTACGATTACAGTTATTCACAAACGTAAAGTTTCTTTTGCATTTGTATACCCTTGCAGGGCATTTTAATTTTAGTCAGAAGTTTGCAACGCACTGAAAGAGTCAACAGTCCGTCTATCCGTTTCCACAAAAACTAGTCCTCCAGTTTTAAGCTATCTGAATGAAACTTTGGAATGGAAAAAGCTGCTGGTGCCGAGTCCTACGGGATTTCAGAGGAGAAGTTTTCGTCGCTGGAAGATTCCAAGCCATCGAATTCCGCAGCTGCCACCGCCGCACCTGCCACCGATAGCCGAGAAGGTCCGGTTAATGGTGAGCATACACGAAGGTAGCAGAGTTCCAAAAGGTGGAAATTTTCCGAAGTGGGGCTTAATGTGGCACAGAACGCCGCCGAGAAGCCGAAAATTGTGGTGTACGACGTTGACCCTGCAATCGTCACGGAGGAGTTAATGAAGGAGCTCCACCCCAACAACTTCGACGACGAGATGGCGGCGACGGAGCCTAAGCTGTCCGCCGACTTGGCGACATAACCCTGGTCAGTATCAGACGATGTCACTGTGAAGCTTGTGTCTACATCAAGTTGTTCTCGTTTAGATGCCGATCGCAGGTCCGCACCTATGCCTGCCATAGGTTTCGACCACAAGGAGAGCAGACAGAACACGCACGGATGCCACCAGAGCAGGCAACAACAGGACTGCCGCAATTGCCGGCATAGAGGGCAACCCTCGGAGCCTTATGTATATGCTCCCGAATATACGGCACGATGCTAGCGAGGTTGCAAGCTAGACATTAATGGTTAGCGAACTGTGGTCGAGTATCTCGGCAGCGATGGTATGGATGTGCTGCCTGAAGGAATGAGGTTATTCACCGACCGGCAAGGGAAGGCAGCCATCCTAGTCGATGATCAGGATGGCAATGCACTATGGGGAATTTGCCCGATTTTTTGGAATAAATTATTAACTCGCAAACTATGTAACATATTTCAGTGAGGTTTTTTATAGTGTTATACATACACCCTTGTTGCAAAAGTGAACAAATTTATATACACTCATTCATTTTTTTTAGCCAAAATCGACCTAATTTAAATTTAGAAATTTGGCATAAAAATGGCTACAAAGGTAAGTCGCCTTAGACTTGAGAAAAATTTGCCCTAAAAAAAGAAAGAAACTTTCAAAAATCTAGAGCGATTTTTCTTAAATGTAGAAAAATGTTCTTTTTTTAGGGCGATTTGCCCTAAATGTGGGTCCAACTTTTCTAAAACTGAAGGTTAATATTTTTAATTTAGGGTAATTTTTCTTGAATTGAAGCCTAGCGGCTTCATTGGCCAACACGTCAATGAGAAGAAGACTCAAACGTAGACATCCCGCCGATCTCTGGACAAGAGGAAGACATATTTCTCGAGTCTTAAAGCAGTAACTAGTATTGTTCACTTGTCATTAAAAATTTGTTAATTTGTTCCATTTCTCTTAATGGTCATGTTATTTTTTTCATATTCATAACAAAAGTTTATAGCCATTAAGTTGGTTGATCAACGTTAATACATTTTTTTAATGCTATGCCGAAAAAAAAGGGTTTTAATGCGACGTACGTCGGGATCTTTATTTGGTCGTATGTAAATCGGTACTAAAATACAAAGAAACTTAATCCTAGCTTTGGAGAACGGACAGGAAGTCCATAGAAAGAGGGCATTTGAGGTTAATCGCCTTTTTTGCGTGAACAGTTAATAAATATTAATAACTAGTTATCCCGGCGAACTCCGCTACGCCACCTTCGGCAAATTATCGTTTAATTGAAGTACTCTTTGGTAAACCAAATTTTTTGTGATGTGTTGTGGTTAAGGGGGGGGTAAGGTTAATTCGGTGCAAAAAAGGCCACTTTTCAAAAAACTATTGTGGCGGAACGGCTAAAGTTAGCTTAATGAATTAAATACCATATAATAACACAACATTTGAATAATTTTTGATAAATTTTGTATTGAAAAATATTAAGAGGTAGAGAAGTTATAGGGAATCTCCCGAGTCGCCTCCAAAAAAGTTGTTTTGCGGTGTACATCCTAACAGTCCACAGGATCATCCGATCTAAAAAAATTATACCTCATTCGTTAATGGATAAGTGTCCCGAGGTATTCAGGAAGCGTTTTTTTTTTTTTAGTTTTTTTTGTGATTTTTTAGGAAATTTGAAAGTCAAAAACCCGATTTTTGACTAAAAAAAAAAACGTTATTTCTTAATTTAAAAATATATAAAAATTAAAAAAAGGCCGACGTGAATACCTGATGAATTAGTTAAAGAATGTGTGTGCCAAATTTCAAATAGATCGGTCCGGTAGTTTTTCTGTAATCGTGTACACCGATTTGAAAAATTGAATTTTTCAGGAGAGCGCTTTAAACTTTGTGATTCTCATGCTTTTAACACCAACCGACCTTCGTTCAACTCCGCATAACTTCGTCAATTTTACTCTGATCGATGTAAAACTTGGACACAATATTCTTAAGATGTTAAACTTAAAAAAATAAAAAATAAAAAAAATTTACGAAAAAAAAAATTAAATACCTTTCCCCCCCTTAATAGAATTATCTAGGGACCAAATAGCCCCTGGGATGTTAAAATCACCAAGAACTACTAAGTGGTCCATATCCGAAATTATTTTAGAGACCAACTGAATAGCGGAAAGATGGTTTCAATAAATAGGAAGTTCCGACAATGGAGGAATGTAGGAACATGTCTGATAGGCCGATCTAGCCGGTATACTGTGAACACAGCTTAAATAACTTCGGAGCTCAGAATCTCCGGCTTTAACCAGGTTCCTATAAACACAACACTTGGGAAGCAAATGTGACACTATTATAGTACAATTTAGGAAGCTTACTGCGAAAGTCTAGCATTTTGATAGGAGATACCAAGGAAGTTTGTTAGTTTTTTGGGACGGAATTGGAAGACGTAGAAGGTCAAATCGGGCCTAGGAAGAGTAATTCCAACTGTCCTTTTTTTTTTCTTTCTTTGCTTCGAATTCCTTGACAATCACATCCTTTTTTCAGATTTGGACATAGCATAGTTTCTCAAATAATTCCTCAGGAACATTTATTTTGAAAGATGAAACGGTCTCGTTGGTGGTATTGCCATAAGGGGTTTTTTCAAGGCAGGCTGATTATCCGCCTTATTCGGCCGGTAGTCCGGGCCTGACACCCTGGTAGGGAACTGGGGCTCTGAGAGGACAACTTCTTGGGACCCCTCTCCCGAGACACATTCGGATATGGAATCTTTTCTAGCACTCGATCTCCGGATTCTTGAAATTTGTCCTGAGCTCGAGGGCTATGTCGAGGGAGGCTGCTGTTGAGAGCCTCCAACTTCGGTTGGAATCCGCCAAGATGCTGCATACCAGTTGATCTTCGTGTGCTCACGCGTTGTCTCAATCGGGCATTTTCCCTTACTACATTTCGTCTTTCCTGGCTTAAGTTCTGTTTCTGTGCATGCCTTGTGCGTAGACCGATGTTCAAACGTCGTGCTCTAGGCATTTTGGAATATAGCAAGAGTGGTTAATTTAACATCAAATCCACATAATTTACACAGTTCAACTTACCATCTTTTCTGTTGCAATTCTTCTTGAAAAAACCGCTGCAATATATGAGGTTAATTCCGTAAAAGCTTAGTGTCCTAAGCTTGCCTCAAATGCTATAAATTCCCAATTTCAGATGCACCATTAGTTTTACTAAACCATTCGAAAGTGTCCAATATTAAATTAGTTAAAATCGTGGACGAAGACAGGCCGGCAATAGCTGAGAATATTCCCACCGCTGCTCCCGATTGGATAGTAATTCTGCAGCGATTCGATGGTAGTGTCGACTTACTTCAGAAATACTTGGATCATAGCGTTGTTGAACTATCCGGGGAATTTTGGGTTAGTCTTGATCAAGGACTATAGGCAGAGTGGTTAATTTAACCTCAAGTCCACAGAATTTACACAGTTCAACTTACCACCTTAAAGACAAAAGCTGGTTTCCAATTGCACTGATAGGAAACGAATAACTTATTTTTCTCAAAATTGAACACAATTTCGGTTTGTCTTATAAAATAAACTGAGTAGAGAATTATGGCATGCTATGTGTCAGTGTTGGCGCTTTATACATAAATGACTTTCCCGCTTTTCTGTTGCAATTTTTCCTAAATTTTCTTTACTGCAAAAATCACAAATTCCGAGACCTTTCCAACGAATGCAAAACCGTGGAAATCGGTTGGTGCGTTCTGGAGTTATAGGATCCGGGCAAAAAACCCAACTTATTTTTATATAATAGATAACATTATTGTTGTCGTTGTATTACAATAAAAGCAACATTAGTATCGTTTATTAACAAAGGCGGCCAAAAAGCTAACACTTTTGATATTCCAAAAAAGACTTGATCTTACTACCAGTTGGGAATTATATGTATGAGCACGCGTTTATTGTGGTTTCACGAAAAGTTAACCAGCAAAACAACGAATTTTAGAAAAAAACTAAGCGAAATTAGGAAATCTTGCCATAAAGGAAAATTTTAAAAAATATAATAATTAACCCTACAAAATTTTATTTAAGGTGGCTTTTATTCATTTTATGGTGCCTGCCCTGTGATCATTATTTTTATACCCTTGCAGGGTATTATAATTTCAGACCGAACGGGCCGGATCGGACGACTATATCTTATAGCTGTCATACAAATGTTCGATAAATTTGTTGTGTCCGCCTTGTCGGTAATCGCGAAGATATCGATAGGTTGGTGAGAGGACTGCCAACTTAAGCCGTTTAGGGAAAGGGGTTCATTAACCCGATAAAGGAGAACTCGAAAAACCTAACGGAGTTCGAATGGCGTGTTGTCGGTTGTCGCTGCCTCCGTTGGTTTGAATCCGGAGTGTAGAAGCAATTCGAGCGCGAGACCGTGGTGCGACGAGGGCTCCTCGTCGTGTTGGTGTTTAAAACCAAAAATTAATTAAAAATCGGGCGCCGAAATATTTTTTTTAATAAAATAAAAAGTGAAAAGACAGAAGAGAGCAGAGGAAAATGGGAGGCATCTGGAAGTAGGAACCTGGGAAGCCAGATCGGCGAACCCTCGAGGTGAGTGGTCAGGGACCAGGCAGGTATAGGAAGAAGGAATTTATTTTTTTTTATATATAGAAGCCGACCAGGACCAGGTTCCAAAGGAGCAACGCCAGGCCAAGATCCAGGCCTGGCGAATCTTTTTATATACGGGAGCCTAATTTTTCAAACTCCGCATATTTTTTGATATATGCTGGCGGAAATAGTGGTCGTGGAGGCCGAATATTTTTGGAACTGGCGGTATGGCCACATAACATCCTGGTGCCGCATAATTGTTTATTTTGACTGCGCCAAATTGTCGATCCTTTTTGTCTGTGCTGACCACCCGAACCGCACGTAAGGCCATAATTTTTACCCGCCACTGTACATCGGAATTGAAGACCGACACGCCTGCAACGAGGCGGCAACGGGAGCCACCAAAGGCTTCAGTCCGATTTTTTTTTATTATTTTGTTTTATATTTATTTTTTTGTTAGTCTATTTAATCTCCTTGTTTATATATTTATCGTTTTAATTTTTATTATTTATTTATTTATTTATTTATTTATTTATTTATTTAGTCATTTATTTAGTTATTTATTTATATAATTATTTGTTTGGTCATAGTTGTTCCTCATTTACTTTATATACATATTTTATTCATTTTTTTTGTTAGATTTTCTGATTGTGCCCTAACTCATTTTTTTTTCTTGTGAATTTCTAATTTGATATTCTGTGGTTTGTGTATCGGCTTCCCCTCGAAATTTCGTCCCCCCTTATGAGCGCTCAAACGGGTAGGTCGAGGATTTTGTTGATGTCGGGGAATTAATATTATTATTCTTATTGCGGAAAACAATTACAAACAGAGAAAAAGAAAAAAAGGAGTTAGGTGGTTCAGCAGAGACCAAACTGCTCGATTATATTTTAATGTAAAATTAATGATTATAATTAAAAAGTAAGGTTTGAATATGAACATGGAGTAGTTTTTTTTTCTGGGAAGGAGGAAGGAATCGATGGCGTGAGGTGATTGTGTGGAGTCATGAAAGGGGCAGCTGCATATATAATTTCTGCCAGCAGCCTGCAAAGGACGGGAGGGCAAGGCAGGTGAGCTCCACAACATCTCGGAGTCTCAAAGGAGTCTGACCGTTTAGAAGATATGTGTCGTTAAGAAATGTTTCGTCCAGTTTCGAACTTGTGCAAGTGTTAGTGTTGTGCAATGTCTCGTCTCCGTCTAGGGCGGGATGTTCAAAAATAAATTATATCTGTTACGTGTGTCAGTGGGCCGGGCCAAGAACCGATGCCTGAGAGGGAGCTAGCCGAGGCATGGCCCAAGCCGATGGCTGCACGCGCAGGACCATGATAGGGTCATAACAGAAATGGCGCCCAATTTAAGCAGCACTAAGTCTTCCACAAAAGGACATGCAAATCTTCGTGGTTTATAGGATCAGAGGTCTCGGATTCTATAAACAACGAAGCTAGAAAGAAAAGAAAGGTTGCGGATTAATGTCCTCAAACGGGGCTTCTAGAAGCAGACTTGAAGTCATCAATTATGCGGCTAAGCCAAATAAATTGATTTGCGCAAGCTGACTGACAAAAGTCCCAAAATTGTGATATTAATCTGTGATATAGCCTTAATTTAGTTAGTAATGGAAGTTAGGATAAATATCGGATTGAAACGAGGAAGTAAAGCCGGCGACTATGTCTAGCTAAGATGCAAGGACATATAGCGACCGGGCAAGGAGAAGGCCAAGTTCGACACTGACCAGATAGAAAGGATCAGTTTGCGAAACGTTGGCATTGACATCGGACATAAACAACGGACTAAGACAAAAGAAGTGAGAGCAGAGAAGTTAGATTTAAAAGGGGGGTTTTATGTAGGGCCAAATAATACAAAGGGGTAAAATATTAGCTTAAAAAAAAAAATGTAGCTGTTTCCTCCTTTTTCCCGGGTGGTGAGACACGACAACGTCCGGCGACCCAGGGCCCGATATTCGGTGACCTTGCGCTGCGTCCGGGCGAAGGACGGTGACCTCTGCTCCGATGTGTGAGAGAGTTGCATCGATTCCAATTTGTACGTGTCCATTTGCACCTGTGGGAAGAAGAGAGGATGGTTAGTTATGTTTTTGTTTTGTATTTGGCAACTTGACTATCAAACGTCATTGCTAGTGATGTTTTGTATAGTCGACTGTGCCAAATATGTGTTGTTTGTTGTTAGTATTGTTGCCTTACGTGTCTACACATATGTACATAGGAAGCGGTCAGATTTTGTATAGTCCACACACATTACTTCACGCCGGGTAACCCTTTCCCATTCCACCTGTAAGAGAAGGGATAAACAAATGAATAAATGATTGGATGTCCGTCAGTATTTGTTTAGTTTATCAGGTTTGGTGTTTTAGGTTACTTATTTATTTATTTATTTTTAGTATGTAGGTATTTATGAGGTTGGATAATATTCGTTAATTTATTACTAGTGATGTTCTTTTTTGTTAGGTGTTGCGTTTAGGTACTTAGCTGAAGCGGTCCGGATTTGTAAACAAGTAGGTAGGCTCGCGGAGAGGCAGAGGCGTTGACGAGGACGGAATGTACTCAGTCGGAACTGCCGGTTGAACGAAATGTCTCAGGGTCGTGGGCGGTCTCCCGCGTTGGGCGCTGAACGAAGTAAGGTCCTGCGCTAATCCTGTACTTCATTGCTTTCCTTTATTGGCATCTGAAATACGGACATTTTTCACTGCCATTGTTTCTTTGTTTACGTCGACCAATGTCAGTGTGGTGTTGTGTCCGCCTTGTCGGTAATCGCGAAGATATCGATAGGTTGGTGAGAGGACTGCCAACTTAAGCCGTTTAGGGAAAGGGGTTCATTAACCCGATAAAGGAGAACTCGAAAAACCTAACGGAGTTCGAATGGCGTGTTGTCGGTTGTCGCTGCCTCCGTTGGTTTGAATCCGGAGTGTAGAAGCAATTCGAGCGCGAGACCGTGGTGCGACGAGGGCTCCTCGTCGTGTTGGTGTTTAAAACCAAAAATTAATTAAAAATCGGGCGCCGAAATATTTTTTTTAATAAAATAAAAAGTGAAAAGACAGAAGAGAGCAGAGGAAAATGGGAGGCATCTGGAAGTAGGAACCTGGGAAGCCAGATCGGCGAACCCTCGAGGTGAGTGGTCAGGGACCAGGCAGGTATAGGAAGAAGGAATTTATTTTTTTTTTTAAATAGAAGCCGACCAGGACCAGGTTCCAAAGGAGCAACGCCAGGCCAAGATCCAGGCCTGGCGAATCTTTTTATATACGGGAGCCTAATTTTTCAAACTCCGCATATTTTTTGATATATGCTAGCGGAAATAGTGGTCGTGGAGGCCGAATATTTTTGGAACTGGCGGTATGGCCACATAACATCCTGGTGCCGCATAATTGTTTATTTTGACTGCGCCAAATTGTCGATCCTTTTTGTCTGTGCTGACCACCCGAACCGCACGTAAGGCCATAATTTTTACCCGCCACTGTACATCGGAATTGAAGACCGACACGCCTGCAACGAGGCGGCAACGGGAGCCACCAAAGGCTTCAGTCCGATTTTTTTTTATTATTTTGTTTTATATTTATTTTTTTGTTAGTCTATTTAATCTCCTTGTTTATATATTTATCGTTTTAATTTTTATTATTTATTTATTTATTTATTTATTTATTTATTTAGTCATTTATTTAGTTATTTATTTATATAATTATTTGTTTGGTCATAGTTGTTCCTCATTTACTTTATATACATATTTTATTCATTTTTTTTGTTAGATTTTCTGATTGTGCCCTAACTCATTTTTTTTCTTGTGAATTTCTAATTTGATATTCTGTGGTTTGTGTATCGGCTTCCCCTCGAAATTTCGTCCCCCCTTATGAGCGCTCAAACGGGTAGGTCGAGGATTTTGTTGATGTCGGGGAATTAATATTATTATTCTTATTGCGGAAAACAATTACAAACAGAGAAAAAGAAAAAAAAGGAGTTAGGTGGTTCAGCAGAGACCAAACTGCTCGATTATATTTTAATGTAAAATTAATGATTATAATTAAAAAGTAAGGTTTGAATATGAACATGGAGTAGTTTTTTTTCTGGGAAGGAGGAAGGAATCGATGGCGTGAGGTGATTGTGTGGAGTCATGAAAGGGGCAGCTGCATATATAATTTCTGCCAGCAGCCTGCAAAGGACGGGAGGGCAAGGCAGGTGAGCTCCACAACATCTCGGAGTCTCAAAGGAGTCTGACCGTTTAGAAGATATGTGTCGTTAAGAAATGTTTCGTCCAGTTTCGAACTTGTGCAAGTGTTAGTGTTGTGCAATGTCTCGTCTCCGTCTAGGGCGGGATGTTCAAAAATAAATTATATCTGTTACGTGTGTCAGTGGGCCGGGCCAAGAACCGATGCCTGAGAGGGAGCTAGCCGAGGCATGGCCCAAGCCGATGGCTGCACGCGCAGGACCATGATAGGGTCATAACAAATTTTTTGAAAAATATTATAACTTGGCTGTTTTTCAACATTTTTAAATGATTTTTGAGATATGGCTAAAGATTTTCGGTTCATAATTTTGTGAAAATCGGACGACAATATCTTATAGCTGCCATAGGAACGATCCAGAAATTAATAGAAAAAATTATAACTTCATTGTTTTTCAACGTATTTTCATCTACTTTAAGGGGGTCTTCCTATTCAAAACCCGTTTTTTGGAACCTTTTTAAAAAAAATTCTTATTTGAAAAAGCAAAGAATAATTGAAAACTTTTTTTATTGATTGTATTACAAAAGGTTCAAAGTATATAAGAAAATTTTGTTTGCCTCGATACGAGGGCTGTTCAAAAAGTAATGAGACTTCAAAGTTGGTGGTAGAAAAAAAAGGTGTCGCACGGCGGCCACGATTCCGGGTCTCCGGAGCGTTTGAAATGAATAACGCGTTTGAAGTTTGAAAATAGCTCATTTTGCGAAGACCTTGCCATCTTCTAAAGTATTTCAAATTTCTAAAAATCCTTTTAGGGGCAGATTCACAACCCAAGCTGTAAATAAATGCAAAAAAAGTCGAAAAAAAAGTTGCTCAATGAGAAGACCCCCTTCAGATATGAGCTATTGGTATTATTTCTGAATTTTCGGTGTAAATATTATGAAAATCGGACAACTATATCATATACCTGCCATAAAAGCGATCGGTAAATGTAGAAAACTGTAAAACTGTAACTGTCAAACTGTAAACACAATAAATATAGGTAAAATGTTATGAAACTCTGTTTTGTGTGTGTTTTCTATGCTATTAATAAATATACAACTTTTATATATTTTCTTTTATTTTTTTTTTTAATTATTTAACCAAAATGGCTAGATTCTTAATGATCCAATTGCAATCTGCAAGGGTATACAAATTTCGGCGTGCCGAAGTTAGCTTCCCTTCTTGTTTATTTTTATTTTTACTTATATGGTGGAAATTTAAATTGCGTGTGCTAGTCAGTAATTCTTCGGCAGTGTTGTGAAATTTTTACAGGTAGTGTTGTAAAATTCAGCTCATAAAAGAGTCGCGGAGATAAAGCCTAGTACTCTGACGAGAAAAAACCGCTGTATAAATTTAGACAGCGGCCAAACTCCATATAAAAAAACGGTGTCGAAAAAAAAAGAAGAAGAACTTTTAGACACGTCGTTTTTTTCGGTACTCTGACGACGAAAATGAAGCCTGCGAAAATTGAATGGCGTTGCCAGATCAAGATAGTAAACAGCTGATATCGCGCTGTCTAAATAATTCATTTGATTTATTTAGACACCCCTAATGGAGGGAAAGTTGAAGGAAAAAGGTGGCATTGATAGGGGCTGTCAAGGGGAAGCCCATAATATGGAATTTAACCCACAAAGGACATTTTAATGCCATATTTATTAATATTTTTAATATTTTTTTGAATATTTGTTTACAAACAGCTGTCCAGTGTGACCAAAGAAAATCCTTAAACGCCATAAAAAGTACATTTTCATGGCATTTCAGGAGTTTCCTTAATTTTTTTTGGTCACACTAGCTCGGTAGCGAAATAAACAGCGATTCCGCTGTCTAATTTAGACAGCGGGTTCAGCGTTTGAAAAACTACGCTACTCCCGTAGTATTTCGTTTTGCTATTGCTACCGCTCTCGCTTTGACGAGAGCCGTAGCAGAGCCGTAGCAGAAGATCGGCAAATGCTTTGCTATAGCTATAGCGTAGTTTTTTCTGTTCAAAAACTACGGCTATAGCTATAGCAAAAAATAAATAGCAGTGCTCTGCGTAGCCGTAACCGTAGCAAAAGATTGAGAGCGAGATGAGAGAAGAGCAAAAGGAGTTTCGTCATATGCTACCTGCTGTCGCATGCCCCTGTTTCTCTCTCTTTCTGTCCTCCTGTGTTTTGTTTTTGTTTTCTGCTGCAGCGACAACAGGTAGCATATGACGAAACTCCTTTTGCTCTGCTCTCATCTCGCTCTCAATTTTTTGCTACGGCTACGGCTACGCAGAGCACTGCTTTTGAGTTTTTTTGCTATAGCTATAGCGTAGTTTTTGAAGTGAAAAAACTACGCTATAGCTATAGCAAAGCATTTGCCGATCTTCTGCTACGGCTCTGCTACGGCTCTCGTCAAAGCGAGAGCGGTAGCAATAGCATAGCAATATTTTTATGAATTTTGCTGCTCTGGAGTAGTAAATGCAAACCCTGAGCGGGTTTTTCTCGTCAGAGTACTAGGCTTAAAGAAAAAAAATTCCCTTCACATCACGCACAGTTTGTAAAATAATTTTGGAGATATTTTGAAGAAAAACAATTTTTTTTTTTAGCAAAACTCCATATAAAAAAACGGTGTCGAAAAAGGAAGAAGTAGAACTTTTAGCCTCGTCGTTTTTTCCGGTACTCTGACGACGAAAATGAAGCCTGCGAAAAGTGAATGGCGTTGCCAGATCAAGATAGTAAACAGCTGATATCGCGCTGTCTAAATAATTCAATTGATTTATTTAGACACCCCTAATGGAGGGAAAGTTGAAGGAAAAAAGTGGCATTGATAGGGGCTGCCATAATATGGAATTTAACCCACAAAGGACATTTTAATGCCATATTTATTAATATTTTTAATATTTTTTTTGAATATTTGTTTACAAACAGCTGTCCAGTGTGACCAAACAAATTAAGGAAAATCCTTAAACGCCATAAAAGGTTCATTTTAGTGGCGTTTCAGGCTTTTCCTTAATTTTTTTGGTCACACTTAATTTAGACAGAGGATTTTTCTCGTCAGAGTACTAGGCTTAAATAGCGATTCCGCCATAACACGTGTTACAGCGGATTTTCGTCGTCAGAGTACTAGTTTTCGGACGCGCTTCTTTAAATTCATTTAAGAAATGATGGTGCCCGATCATCTTTAAGTTAAATATTCGACTGTGCTTTCTCGCTTGGTGGAGTAATTGTAATTGAAAAGCATATTAGCCAGTTCATTACAGGTCGAAACTCAAAATGGTATTCCAATGAGAATTTCATTTAACTTGTTTCTTAAACTGAAACAAGAAAGGAAGCAAACTTCGGTACACCGAAGTTTGTATACCCTTGCAGTTTGCAATTGGATCATTAAGAATCGACTAATTTTGTTAAAAATAAAAAATAAAAACTAACTGGATGAACAATACATATATAAACTCTGGTCAAATTAATCCCAGCAAGCATTTTATGAAAATTCTGATCTTATTCGAGTCATTTTCGACTCCCCTTTCTGATTAAAATGAGCATATATGCGCTCATTTTCTGATCATAAATACGCTG